CCTTTGACCTACAAACCATGTAGCACATGTTAAATAAACGTAGAGGGCATAGAGGTGTCTTATCTTATTCTTCAGTTTCGTTTTGCTTGTTTACATAAATTCACTTTGGTCATCTAGCAATGCCGTTAAAGTGCAACGCCAATGACTGATTTGTTGATCATTTGTCAGTAAAAATCCTGATGCTAACACCAACTAACTTTGTGTTTTTTATGCTGCCGATTTTGTGGCTGCGATTAGCTGATAACATGTGCTTGAGGAAAGGGAACTCGCTTTTACGTGTGCCAATAGACATTACGTCAGTGTGTGAATGAAGGTCAACGAAGATTTTCGGAGAGTGCACTTACTTGTCTCACTCCCCTTTCAAGAGTAAACCACTCTCATACAGTTCTATTGACCATTACACTGCTCGTCATGCGTGTGTATGTGTTTCCCAGAACCTTCACGGGTCCAGGTGGTTCAGTTTCCAAATAAGTCACTCGTGCCACACTGTATAGAAGGCTTTGGTGCGATCAAGAAAGACAAATTTAACTTTATCATTCCTGTCCAAGTAATGATGAACTGTTTCCTTCAGTATGAAGGAGATGTGTATCGAGGATAATCCCTTTTGGAACACGCACTGCTGGTGATCTGGGAATGTTTTACATTCGTTGAACTGTGGAATTCTCTTGGTAATGACCGTTTCAAACGGGATGGCCTAAAAGTCTGGCCAAGAAATGTCGGGCCGGGCCGGGCCGGGCCACCGGGTAATACTAAAAATGGATTGCAGAATATTAAAACGAAACCTGCACATTTGGGTCGATAAACTTCCTGCCTTCACAAATCCATAGTTTGATTGAAAATGTATAGTTAATGGTGAAAAAACCCACACAACAACAATGACTACATACCGAGATTCCCGTAGAAAAGACACCGTCTTGTTGTTATGTGTTTTCCTTGATATGTCTATGAGGGAAGGTTGCTTACTTCTCTTAGCGTGTGACATCCGGGGGTCCTGGGCAGGAAATGACAGTGTTTTGACTGCTTCTCTTTCATTAATTAAGATATTGGGGTTCCCTAATTAACCTTTATTGTCTCATGCTGAATCAGCACAGGATGTTTATGTTAAAGAGACGTGGATATGGGCGACGGTCAACGGGCAAATATGACATGATTATGTATATTAAAAGAAATATTTGAAATCACAACATTTTGTTATATGTTATAAAGGATCAAACAAAGTATGCATTCACAAACACAAAAATTCTTATGTGTTTTCATTGTAAACAATACCAGCCCAAATCAGATAGGGGCGGTGGGGTAGCCTCGTGGTTAAAGCGTTGGCTCGTCACGCCGAAGACCCGGGTTCAATTCCCCACATGGGCACAATGTGTTAAGCCCATTTCTGGTGTTCCCCGCCGTGATATTGCTGGAATATTGCTAAAAGCGGCGTAAAACCAAACTCAGTCAGTCAGTCAGTCAAATCAGATAGCCAGCGCGTATGCATATGCTTATATTTAATAATACACATGAAACACAAAATGGTATTATATCTACCGAAATACCACTTCATAAAGTAAAGTAAAAGTGGAGCCGCTTTCTCTCTCCATTCCCAACGATTTAGGAAAAAAAAGTCCTCGGAAAACAAAATCCGCAATCAAAAGTGTTTAGTCTCTGTTCGGCCCGACTTGGCCCGTGCTGTCAAAAACAACCTAAACTCACACATGTATCTTGAAATGTGTTTATATCCGTAGATTAGTGTTATATCTACCTACATATCACTCCACAGAGTCTCAAAGCGTAGTATTTGAAGCAAACACCTTGCTCAAAGTGAAGCCCTATTTTCTATACATTCTCAACAAAGACACAGTATCACAAGCGTTCGGTACGCTCTCAAAAACAACTTACTCCCCACACATGTATCCTGATTTGTGTTTACATCCATAAATTAGTATTATATCTACCTAAATATCAATGTGTGATGTTACAAAATGCCACATGTAAAGATAACTGGTTCAGTAAAGTGAAGCCCTTTTCTCTCCCCATTCACAACATCAAAAAGTGTTCAGTCGCTGTTCGGCCCGACTTGGTCCGGGATCTCAGAAACAGCTTAAACCTCACACATGTATACTGATTTCTGTATATATCTATAGAATAGAGTTATATCTACCTAAATACGTCTTTATGAAGTCTCAAAGCGTTTTATTTGAAGCAAACATGTTGCTTAAAGTGAAGCCCTATTCTATCCATTCTCAACAACCACATAGTATCACATGCTTTCGCTCCGGCTTGGCCCGGGCTCTCAAAGACAACTTAAACCCCACACATATGTCCTGATTTGTGTTTAATTCCATAGATCAGTATTATATCTACCTAAATATCACCGTGTGATGTTACAAAATGCCACATGTAAAGATAACTGCTCCGTTAAAGTGAAGCCTTTTTTTCTCTCCATTCACAACATAGCCTCAATCAAAAGTGTTTAGTCTCTGTTCAGCCCGACTTGGCCCGTGCTGTCAAAAACAACCTAAACCTCACACATGTATCTTGAAATATGTTTATATCCATAGATTTGTATTATATCTACCTAAAAGCCGTCTTTATACAGTCTCAAAGCGTTGTATTTGAAGCAAACACGTTGCTTAAAGTGAAGCCCTATTTTCTACACATTCTCAACAAAGACACAATATCACAAGCTTTCGGTCCGGCTTGGCCCGGGCTCTCAAACGCACCTTAAACCTCACAGATGTATCTTGAAATTTGTTTAAAGCAATAGATTGGTATTATATCTACCTAAATACCTCTTTATTGAGGATGTATTTGAATCTAACACGTTGCTTAAAGTGAAGCCCAGTGTTCAATCGGGCTCTGTGCGGGCTAATGAAATTGATACACCTGTTAATTACACCAGTATCCAGCTTGCTTAATTGCCCCTTGTCTAATTGCAATCAGCTAGGTGTTGTGATTCAATTAACATACTCCATTGTTGCCCTTAATTACCGTTCAGGGGCCTTCAGTGTTATTGATTACTTCACCGTTTCTTCATAACGTTTATCACAGTATGGGGTGTTATCATGTTCCAGAGTATAAACATCAATGAATACTAGTTCCGATACAGATGGCAGGCTGAAGCTATTCGTGATATGATTTCCACATATAATTAACTTAATAAATATCAGAAGATATTATACCCAATTATATGACATGAAATGCTTGAAAGAGGTGGGTTTGTTTTTAGTGGTTCAGAATACAGGATGTTCTCCGTACAGTTTCCACAGTATAAACATCAATTCATAATAGTACAGATATAGATAGCCGACTGAAGCTATTCATGACATGATTTGAACATATCAGTAATTTAATAAATATCAGAAGGTATCAGCTAAAATGACTTGCCGTACAAGATGTTATGGTTATATAATTTGAACATACGAAATTATGAAAACACATCCACGGCAATGACACTGTGTTGCCCAGCTCAGGCTCGGGAGAATATTGTTTTCACTGTGAGAGCTTTGCCAAAGGTTACTCGGAGATGCCGTTTCCCGGATGTTGTAAACTTCAAGCGTTTCAGATAATCCTGTTTTCCTGAACACGCATACAGACAATAGAAGTATTAGAGAGAGCAGTGGGAGAAGTATGTTTTCATTAAATCCACAGTGTCTCGCCTAACTTTCTCCAAATGCATCCATATAAAACTGGCCGAGCTGGGCAGTAGCAGCATCCATTCATTCATTCACGTATCATATGTCATTGGAGCTGGACGTACTGGTCTCGCCTGGTACGCCCCACACCATCATCGATACCCCATTCAAAATCATCAAGCCTACACCCAATCTACTCTCCTCCTCTCAACCTCAGACACCCATATCAGCAAAGCGACCGGGCTTCCCTACCCCACCGGCCGCTAGCCGCGGCCACCCAAGCTGGGACGAGCAATCGCAAGTGTGCGCCATTTTCCCATTGTGACTTTGTGTAAATAGACTATCTGTATATAGACATTCAAATAATCAAAAGACAATTTCCCCCAGTTTATTTTGTTCACCTTTCATTTGTATATATGTTCATTTGCAATTTGTTTTTATCATACCTATATATTGTTTACATACCCAAACCACCCACCACAGCCCACAAACCAACTCTACACCCATCCCTCCCCCTCCCCACGCATCATGGCCTCCCCCTACCCCAACTCATCCCTTTTCTCAACCCCTACAAAAGACTTCCCGCCACTTACATCCCCCCACTCAGTTGACCCAATACCAATAAATTTCGGAATCGACCTAGAAACTATCCTTCCTGCCCTCCAAACCACAACCAATCCCTCCAACCCCCCCAATCTCCAATCACTCAAACTAAACCCTCCAAAACAGCCAAAAGACCACATATCTCACCAAACGAAAACACCCAATCTAATAAAAACAATGTGCCCAAGAAACACCCCCACCCCACCCCCAACCCAAACCTATCAAACACATTCTTTTAGCTTTCGCCATCAACTCGCACACACCTCTCAACCACACCTACTCCATCAACAAATTCGCTCTATGCCTCCAACAACAACACATCCAATACAAATACATTAACAATTGTGGCCGGGGGTTCAAAATTACATTTCCAGATAAACAATCCCTCACAAAAAACACCAAACACTCACTCATCGATGGCAAACAAATAAGCTGGCAGCTGCCACGATGGCAATCATCCATTCAGGGGGTTATCCACATTGACGCCAGGGAATCACAAACAGATATAGAAAACTACATAGACATTGCAAACACTATCCCAACACAACCTAAAATCACCCAATACCGCACAATCAATAACAAGCAACCCACCATGTACAACTCAAACACCCAAACAACCTTCCTAACCTTCGACACCACCACACTACCCATTCATATCACATTTGGAGCGCTATCATACAAAGTTCACCCCATCAGGAAAAACCCACAACAATGCAGATACTGTTTCTCTTACACACACACAACCAACACTTGCAAATCACCAATGTTATGTCCAAAATGCGGGTCGGACAGCCACACAGTAGAAGAATGTTCATGGCAAAAATATTGCATCCACTGCGACACATACGGACACACTTCAACACAAAATACATGCCCCATCAAGCAAAACCACATCCTCAAACTAAACAAACACATAAAACACCGACCTGCCAAAACCAGCACGCATTCCACTCACATATCACTCTCTCCTCTCAGTGTCTTCCTCCACTCCATCTGCTAATACTACATCCATCTCCATCCTCAGCCCCCATCCCCCCTCAAAACCCCCCAAACCACGCTCCATCCAACCCCCTCCAAACCTACCTACCCATCCACCACCCACCAAAACTAACTCCCCTGCACCCACCCAACCATGCACAAAACCCACCAAACCTAAACAACCACTCCTAGCCACCCCACCCCACCCCCAAATCCCGCCCAAACACTGCCCCACCACCCCCAAGCCCACTAACCAACCCCCACCTACAAATACCACCCTCCCCAAACCACCCACCACCCAAGCTATCCAACCCCACCTCCACACAGCCAACAAACACACTGCTCCCCCGCACAAACCCAACCTCACGCTCACACCACAAAAATTAAATCAAAACCTCAACAAGCTCATAGAATTCATATCTGCAGCCATTCTACTCAAAGCTCCCACAGCTAAGAAACTTCATACCCTCGCCCACAAACTCAAACTCTACCACAAGGGTCTAGCCAGCCTCCTTATCGCCATCAAAAACCTATCTTAAACCTCATCAACCACTAAGCTGCCCTAGCCACCAACAACCTATTGCAAATTATGCCCCAACCCATGGTCTTTACTAATCTACTGCTACAAATTTCTGCAACCATGGCTATATTACAGTGGAACTGCAACGGACTCCGAGTACATGGGCATGAACTTAAGGCACTCATCGCCCAAAATAAAATCTCCCCCCAAATAATCGCTCTGCAAGAAACCAAACTATCACCTAAAAACGCCTTCAAAATACCAGGCTATATTTTCATTCGGAAAGATAGACCTCGGCCAGTAAATATCCCAGGCCCCCCTGCCGGAGGCCTGGGCTTTTTTATAACAGAGCAATTAAACTATACCACTTTTGATATCCCCACCCAAGATCTAGAAGTCCTGGCTATTAAAACAAAACTTAATAATAAAGAATTTACCATCATAAACGTATATAGAAGACCCACCTACATAATCACTACTACTGATTTAGAAATACTATCCAAATTCATAAGCCCATATACCATTATCCTCGGAGATTTCAACGCTCACCATCCACTGTGGGGCACTAGACCTTTCACCAACACTAATGGGACTCGTCTTTCCGACTGGCTGGACAAACACAACCTAAGCACACTTAACGACAACCAACCTACAAGATACCCACTCTCCCACCTACATTCACCCACAGCAATAGATATTACACTCACTACACCTAAACTTACACAATCTTGTATATGGGAGGTCCACAATGACACCTGGGGCAGTGACCACTGCCCCATTAAAATCACAATCACATCACACATACCCACCCACACCACACCCACCACCACCCCACCACAACCACACACAGAACTACGATTCAACATTAAAAAAGCAAATTGGAGAAAATTCTCAACACTTTGTAAACAAATAGACACCACAGCCATTTTCAACACAGACATAAACACTTTCAACACAAACCTCACTAGTACCATACTTGACATCTCAAAAAAATGCATTCCAACTTTTCGATATAACCCTACACAAAAAACAGTCCCTTGGTGGAGCACAGAAATCATCAACGCCAGAAAGGCAAGAAAAAAGGCCCTTAATCAATCAAAGAGGGACCGTTCGAAATTACATTTGGCAAAACTACTAAGAAATAAAACTAAGAAATTAATAGAGGCAGCAAAAAATGACCATTGGAAACAATTCTGTTCCACCCTTAAGCTAACAAGTCGAAACTCTAGAACTATGTGGAAAAAATTTAACGCCATTAAGGGTATTTCCCAAAAAACTATTTACCCAAACCTTCCGGACCTAGCCACAAATAAAGACAGAGCTAATGCATTTGCTGCCCACCTCTCGGCCGTCAGTAGCTCCACCAACTACCCGCCTTCTTTTCAAAACACCATGAAAAAGCAGCCCCCATACACCCCACAACCACCACACACAGATTTACCTATAAACAAAATAATAAATATACATGAACTCCAATCTGCTCTCAGAAACAAACAGACAGCCTCAGCCCCGGGTCCAGATACCATTACATACACTATACTGAACAAATTAACACCTAACATGCAAAACTTAACACTTACCCTCTTTAATCATATCTGGACCTCAGGTACTATCCCAAACACATGGAAAACAGCCAAGGTGGTGCCAGTTCTCAAAACAGGGAAACCTAAAAATGAGCCTGATTCTTATCGCCCTATCTCCCTCACCTCTTATCTATGTAAAACTTTAGAAAGCATTATTAACCACAGGCTCAAACACCTCATATATACTAAAAATCTAATTGAGGAGGACCAGAGCGGCTTTACTCCAAACAGGCAAACTTTAGACCATATTTTACATTTGGAACAAGACATCAAGGTAGCCCATGCACAAAAACAATACACCATGGCCATCTTCATCGACTTTAGTAAAGCATTTGATATGGTTTGGCAAAACGGCCTCATACAAAAACTCCAAAAATATGCCATTAACGGCAGAATTCTAAATTTCATTCACTCTTTCCTTAATAATAGACAGATAATCCTCAAATCTCACAACACCCTCTCGGACCCCCATCCCCTAGAACATGGGACCCCCAGGGCAGCATATTATCACCAACACTTTTTCATTTCATGATCAACGACATATTCCCAGATAAATGGCCTGAAATTTCAAAAAGCCAAATTTGCCGACGATATTTCTTTCTGGACTTCCTCCACTTCTGTCAAACAAGCCTCTACAAAATGCCAAAAATGCTTAATCATATTCAAAATTGGGCCCCAACAGTGGGGGTTCCTCATTAACGTTAAAAACCGTGGGCATACTCTTCAAAACACAACGAATGCAAAATTTAACACCCAAACTGCACCTAAATAACCAAAAAATTGAATTAAAAAAGGAAGCAAAATTCCTAGGAATAACGTTTGACCAACATATGACATGGACACCCCACATTCACAACCTGGTCAATTCTTGTCAAAAAGATCTCAACTTAATGAGAGCCATCAGCGGCACAAACTGGGGTGCCGACAAACACACACTCATCAACATATACAAAACGCTCATACTGCCTAAACTGGACTACGCCGCCCCGATTCTCCACACCCTCTCCTCCTGTAATCTCCAAAAAATAAACTCCATCCAATATAAAGCCCTAAAATTAGCCCTAGGCACGAGGGCTGGCACCTCCCTAAACACATTACTTCTACTCTCAGGCACCACTTCATTCACACAAAGAATCAACCAAACAACACTCACTTACTGGGCTGGGGCCCAACATAACCCACTATTTAAACTCGTCACACATAAATACAGCAACATAAGGAAATCAACACTCAAGAAATTCAAATTAAATCCCCTGAAAGCTCCATGCCTCACCCACCTCCATAAACTACTACAGGCACAACAGCTTAACGACATACAACACACACCTCCCATTACAAGCTACATTCTCGACATACCCCCCACCCACCACAGACACCACCCTAGACAACATTCTCCAGCAGTTACCAAACAACTCCAACAAATCCACCATAACAAACATCACAAACAACTATATAAACAATAACTACCAACACACACACCCATATATACAGACGCTTCTATCAACCCAAACAAAACAACTGGTATAGGCATACATGTCCAACAACCCCCATTACAACCAACCTGCACTATACAAACCACACCTCAATACACACAGCAGAACTAACAGCTATCCTCACTGCACTCCACCTAATACCCACCCTCCGACAATCTAACTTCTTAATTCTCTCCGACTCACTAAACTCCATTAGGCAAATACATAACAAGTACTCCAAATATCGCCCTGATCTCATTCATAATATCACAATCCAAACCGACTCACTTAAACGAGCAAATAAAAACATAACTTTCACCTGGATACCAGGCCATTCAAACATATTAGGAAACGACACAGCAGATACAGCAGCCAAATTAGCAACAACACAAAAATCACCAAATATAAACTTTCATACATCCAAAACAGAAACTAAACAACTCAGTAAATCAAATATCCTTCATACTGACTTTCAACACAACATAAACAACAACAAATCAAAATGGGTTACTTCCATTATAAAATCACACTTAAGAAAAATCCCTAGATTCTCAAACATTAAAAATATCGACTCGGACATAAACAGACTCATCACAGGCATCACAAACCTCAACCACACACTCTACAAACAAAATAGACATGCAGATGGACTATGCACACACTGTAATACCCAAGAAGACATAAATCACATACTCATACACTGCCAGCTACAAAAGACAAACATTAAGCTACTACAAAACAGCATTCCCTCTAAATATCACAATAACATCCCACTACTCCTCAACCCCCACAACCCAACAAGTATCTTCAACGCCCTAACATTATTCCTACAAAACTCAAACCTTCTAAAAAGAATCTAAAACTCATTAAATAAACTGCAGCCACCTCTCTGACCTCCCACTTACTGCAACATTCAGGCCAGCCGTTCAAACCTCGATTATCCATTCTGTCCCCCCCCCCCCCTACAACTTCAGACACGGCTCTCAATTTCATTTATCCATACTCTGCACACGCCAGGTAAGGTGGTTTATCCCTTATTAACATTTATTATTTATTATATTAGCTCCCACCTACCCCGTCGGCGAAATTGGCTTACGCCAGAAGTCGACGTTAAACATCCAATTTCGTCGAGTAGCAGCATCATCTGATCTGAAAATGTCTGCATTACTTGTTGGCGACTCGTTACTGAAGTATGTTGGACGTTATACGCAGAAAGAAGGGATCGTGACAAGGTCTCTGTCCGGAGCCAAGGTGGCTGACATTTCCGATCTGTTGTGGGACATGGAGAACTTTAAGGTAGGAAACAGTTGAAGAATGTCGGATTGTGCACAGAATGAGGATTATTTCACGCGCGTAGTCGTAATATACCCATCATTGTGGATATCGGATGCTAAAAAGCGTATCTTATGTTTTGATCACCCAAATCGAGTCATTTCTGAAGTGAGTTTTAATTCAACATTGTTTCCAGTTCATCATCGTCCACGTTGGGATCAACGACCTGGCGTACATGCCTAGGACGCCTGGGCAGGTCTTGGACAACTTCGCCAAACTGGTTGACATTATAAGGAAACAGAACCCACGGTATGTCATCTAGTTTTATGCACCCGTTTAAAAACTGTCGAGCTCAATCTGACATTTGAATACATGTTATGTTTTTATGGATAACAACTTCTTTTAATCTGATATTTACATATACGAGCGGTTGCAAAGTGAGGTTAAACGTCCAAGGCAGTGTCCGACTCCAGATTACTTTTTAGATAAATTCCATTTTTCAGATTTCAGCCAGTGGGCAAAAGATCTGGTGGATGCACATAATATTTTGTATGCTATGTTACACTGAGCTGTCGTACTCCTTTCCGGTGTCACCCCAAGATACCGGAATAGATGGCGACAAGGCCGTGGAAATCAGGATTCCCTCAGCGAGAAGGCTTACACCCTCAACGAGAAAGTGAAACACTTTTATGGTGAGAATGGATTGACCTATGTCGGCCACCCTAACTTCATGTCTTCCGGGAGGGTAAGGCAGGAGTTCATTGCCTGCGATGGGCTTCACCTGAGAACAGCAGGACAGAAGCAGCTGGCTTCAGATATTATCTGTGCTCTTTCGGTGGTATGTTATTCAAATAGGGATTATTATTGTTTGCATTCATCAAATACTTACTATATTAATGTGTCATAAGGCCAAGTCTCCGGTTTGACGAGAACCTTCATTTACCGTGTACTTGCTTTCAGTACAGATGTGTATTAACATTTCTGCTCTGTTTTCGGACAAATGGTAACAGCCATTAGGCATCAATGATAATACTGTGTTGTGTTGTTTCGGCTGTCACCCGTTTGCTGTATTTCACAGGTTTGTTCTTCTACTGACATGAACAGCTATAGGTAAATTCAACGTCAAATCTTATTTCTTACGTATATTTCTTTTTAATAAGCATAGCAAGCTAAACATGAATTATTCTGTCCAAGTGTACGCAACCGTTGAATAATCCCACTAGACTACCGTTGATAACTCCCACTACACCAACGACTTCTACCACGTCGAGAGTGACTTACGCACAAGCCTGTGAAGAAAAACCTGTCGGCGTCACAGCTTCACTGGACATCACTTCTGAGGTACATATAGGAAAATCGTATACAACATACAACTTCGTATGATTAATTCGTTGTTTTTGTAACCATCTAAACATTACTATCTACTGCAGGTCGACTTTCCACCCCTTGTACATGCAGCAGTGCTTCCCCGGAATAAGATGGCTGACAAGGTGAAATATGCAATACCAACAATTCTCATAAACATCTGATTTTCCTGAACAATAATATTGTTATTTCAAAAACCGTCTTCTTTAAAACCACGTCTTCTTCTTTCCAGTCCCAACTGGCAGCTGCTTCCCTCCCCACCACCTGTAAGCAGCCGGTGAAGGTAAGATACTTACAACACATAAGGTAGAAACACGCTTCTTCTTACTCGTCACATACACGATTACTAACTCTCTTTATTGGATGTAGATTTGTTCTTTAAATCACGTCTGCTTCTTTCCAGTCCCAACTGACAGCTGCTTCCCGACCCACCACCTGTAAGCAGCCGGTGATGGTAAGATACTTTTTACAACACATACGCTAGCATGCATTCTTTACTTTAACGAATTGTGAAGTCCAGCAAATAGTAGCGTTATATTATTTAGAACAAACTTTAAGGATAACAACTTCTTTTTATTCGTGAGTGCGACGTTTCGATTCAATGCTTGACAACGGTACAAGAATCTGTATCGAAACGTCGCACTCACGAATAAAAAGAAGTTGTTATCCATAAAGCTTGTTCTATATTGTACTTCCCAACTTCTAAAATGCCACTCAAAGAAGTATTAGCGTGTATGTGTATATGACATTACTTATGTATGCATATTTTTCAGGATTACTCGATGCTTTACGGCGGCAGTGATTTGCCTATCTATCTTATAAAGGATACAAAACCCAAAGCCCATGAAGTCCTTTTTTATTTGGTGAGACACGTTCTGCAGCACCATAATAAAATTTCTTACCTATACCACACTCTACCAGACACTTATCAATGTTCAAAACATCAAAACACCAATTTGTCCTGAGATGTATGAAATATTCATTAATACTTTTTAGAACATCCAGAACACGAGCGAATAACATTCACTCCACCATGCAGACCAAAGGGTACGGAAGTGTATCTGTTCTCGACCGGTGGCGACCCCAACAAAAAGTGTAAGTATTCAGCTCATTATTCGAGTCTGCAACTGTTTCAAGTCACTACAGAGCACTGATACAAGGTCCTATTTGTTTTCAGTTGACGGCCGAGCAGATCAATACAGGTGGAAAAATCAAGGCTCAAAAACGATAAAAGCTGGCAAGCAAATACTCACGAAATATTATTTTACAGTAGATTCTGAAGAAGTCCCACCACCGTTCAGCAAACAGGAATTCCGCCATCCAGATATCCCCGATTTAGTTTTAGTTTATTACAAAGGAGACCATTCAGCATACAAGCCCAAGCCCCATGGTAACAGAGTACAAGGAAATCAGGAACACCGTAGAACTGCTGCGTCTGTCCTAGCAAATGCCAGGGAATCCAACAAAGGCCCTTCAGCAACGTATCGTGATTTAGTAAGTGATCCATCTGTTTCCGGCACATTACAAGGCATCTTGAACCCACGAAACAAGAAACAGGTCCGGAACCAAGGAGAACTACGACGAAATCAACAGAAACTTAATCAAGATACTATATACAGTGTTCAAGAACTTGCCTATCACCTTGAGCCCTTTGTCCTTGGTATCACCACCTATCCAGATCTCCGAATAGTATTGGCATTAGATAACATTATGAACGACCTCAAAGTTATGGCTGACAAGACACCTGCTACACGTATCATTCTTGGATATGACACCACATTCAATTTGGGAGATTTCTATGTAACCACTATCCTCTACCATCACGGCAATTTAAAAAAAGAACCAGTGATTCCTTTGGCCTTTCTTATTCATGAACGTTAATTTACGAAGGTCCATCAATATTTCCTGGATACACTCAGAGACAAACTGCCAATCTTTGATTCCAGCCGGATACTATTTGTAGCGGACAGAGAGAAAGCCATCACCAGAGCTTTACAGAAAGAACTCCCACAGGCGAGGATAGTATACTGCTGGAATCATATAAAACAGGATTTTCGCTGCTGGCTGCGTAAGCTAACGGTGACCAGATAGCTGTCTATACCAGTCATTTAGAGAGAAAAGGGCTAACTTTAACGAACCATTTATATTTACATGTGGCATTTTGTAACATCACACATTGATATTTACGTAGATATAATGCTAATCTATGGATTCAAACACAAACCAGAATACATGTGTGGGGTTTAAGTTGTTTTTGAGAGCCCGGGCCAAGACGTACCGAACGCTTGTGATACTGTGTCTTTGTTGAGAATATGTAGAAAAGATAGCTTCACTTTCAGGACCGTTTTTGCTTCAAATACTACGCTTTGAGACTCTGTAGGTAGATATAATACTAATCTATGGATTTAAACACATTTCAAGATACATGTGTGAGGTTAAAGGTGTTTTTGACAGCACGGGCCAAGTCGGGCTGAACAGAGACTAAACACTTTTGATTGAGACTATATTGTGAATGGAGAGAGAAAAGGGCTTCACTTTAACGGAGGAGTTATCTTTACATGTGCCATTTTGTAACATCACACATTGATATTTAGGTAGATATAATAGTAGATATAATCAGAGGTATTGCAGTTACTTAAATAACAAATATCACTTCAAGAAACATCTACCTAATGTAGACCGAGGGAATAAATTTTGAGTCATGCTCTAAAATGTGTTTTTACTAATTAAAATACCCAAAACTTAGAAAAATAAGGGGTAGTGGGACGTTATTTGAAACAATCATTAACTGCCTGTGTTACGTCATCAGCATGCACGCTATCGACAGGTGAAATTGACACCTGAGCACACGCTCGGGCGAGGGGTCATCTCAATAGATGTTTTCTGCAAAATGTTGAATATGTGTACGTATAGTATACGTATCAGTTATGTAAGGGATCATTTGTGTATGTGTGTTTGTTTTGAAATAAACATACGAATTACTGTACATTGGAAAGAATCCTATCACTTGTGTTATCTTATCGATTGATTGTAGAAATGTGCAACGTTTTAATAAATGTTTTGCAATGTCAACAGTTTATTTAAATGAAAAAATATGGATGTAATTCGGTCAGTTTAATCTAGTTGTGAACATTGGCCAAAGATTTAACGAAGTCACTGGTGTAGCCTCTTTAGAATACATGTATATATATTTTTCTTCTCATAAAGTTTGTAGACCGCCCGTCTAAGCACTCCCTTGTCAAAGTTGTCAAGGATGGTTTTACGTCCCGGTTTTGCATTTGAGACGGTCCCTGTCTTGTCTGATTTGTTCACGATATTGTAAACTTGTTGGTAAGACATGCCAACAGCTCTACACATTCTGTAATTAACTAATGAAAGGTTTACCTCTGTCTTTTTTAAGCAGAAAAAACCTATAAACCTTCGCAACAATCGACTGCAAATCGTTGGCCATAGTGGACGTTGTGATAAAGATGTGCATACATGACGGGAAACTTATTTATCAAGACTTAACATTTATATTATTATTTCTTCAATAAAGAAAACGATAATTAAGTAAAGTAACACAAACATTCAACATTTATTTGTTTAGTAAAAACGTTAATTCATATTTTTACACCACCTGTATTATTAGCATAAATGTAAAGACTATTTCAGATTTCTGTTGTTGAACACTGAAAAAATCTTAAGTTGCTGTTTTGGTACCAAATTCTCTCCTGTAAACTGCCCTTTAAATGCATCGGAATGTTAAATCGATTGCAATAAAAAAATAGGTAGACAATAGGCGAGTTGATATATTGACAACATAGTATATTTATCACCTTTATAAAGATATTAAGGCTAAAAAGCATTTTTCTAGCATTTCCGACAGTACTTTAATCTATTGATTTAAACACAAATCAGAATACATGTGTGGGGTTTTAGTTGTTTTTGAGAGACCGGGCCAAGGCGTACCGAAAGCTTGTGATACTGTTTGATGAGAATATGTAGAAAAGATAGCTTCACTTTAGCAAAGTTTTTGCTTCAAATACTACGCTTTGAGACCCTGTGAAGTGATATGTAGGTAGATATAATACAAACCTATGGATATAAACACAAATCAGGATACATGTGTGAGGTTTAGGTTGTTTTTGAGAGCCCTGGCCAAGTCGGGCTGAACAGAGACTAAACACTTTTGATTGAGACTATATTGTGAATGGAGAGAGAAAAGGGCTTCACTTTAACGGAGCAGTTATCTTTACATGTGCCATTTTGTAACATCACACATTGATATTTAGGTAGATATAATACTAATTTATGAATTTAAACACAAATCAGAATACATGTGTGGGGTTTAAGTTGTTTTTGAGAGCCCGGGCCAAGGCGTACCGAACGCTTGTGATCCTGCGTCTTTGTTGAGAATGTATAGAAAATAGGGCTTCACTTTGAGCAAGGTGTTTGCTTCAAATACTACGCTTTGAGACTCTGTGAAGTGATATGTAGGTAGATATAACACTACTCTATGGATATAAAGACATTTCAGGATACATCATGTGTGCGGTTTAAGGTGTTTTTGAGAGCCCTGGCCAAGTCGGGCTGAACAGAGACTAAACACTTTTGATTGATACTATATTGTGAATGGAGAGAGAAGAGGGCTTCACTTTAACGGAGCCGTTTTCTTCACATGTTGCATTTTATAACATTACAAAGCAATATTTAGGTAGATATAATACCAGTCGATGGATTTAAACACAATTCAAGATACGTGTGTTACGTTTAAGTTGCTTTTGACGGCTCGAGCCAAGCCGGGCGGAAAATTGTGGCGGAGATAATGTTGAGAGTGTGGGGAAGAGATTGCATCATTTAAATGTGGGCATGCTTTAAATACGATGAATAGTGAATTTATGGGGTGGTGTGTGATTGGATATAGATGTAAATATATTTTCGGGCCGACGGAAATGTGTATCGGAATTTGCTGAAGTATTTACACGTTTTAAATTCGTTTAACGAGTCCACTCGGTCAGCCAGTTCACAGGCTTCTCGTATTCCTGGGTTTTAGCCGATATACTCGTAATAAAGTTATTATGGTACGCGTTTGTGGCTTCCGATTGATCATTATTATCATGAGTGTATGTTGCATTGATTAGTTGTAGGCATGGTTTTCGTTAATGGGTTTATTGGCCAATAATAGATTCGCCCCGCGCGCCTTGACCCGGCCCGACTTTTAGGCCATCCCATTTCAAACAGTTTTGATATTACAGGCAGCAAGGTTACGCATCTATATGAATCCGGAGATGTTTTCTCTTTGTTATGGCCTTTATAGATAGGGACAATTATTCCTTTTTCCCATGGTCGTGGTATGTATCCTGTTGGGAGAATCCTGTTAAAGAGCTCCGAAAGAAAAGTATACAAGTAAGGTCCTCCACAATTCAGGAGTTTGTACGAGATTCCATCCATGACTGCAGCTTTGCTATTCTTACGCTGTCTGCATATACTCTTTGTCTCATTGCTTGATGTCATATTCAGTAGTGTGAATCTAGTCTTTGAGATGATTAACCTTCTCCATCACCACTTTCTTAAAGGCGTTGACAAAGCTTTCGTCCAGATTTGAGCACATCACAGATTTCATGCAGTCAACTTCTTTAGGGTATTGAGAAACTTGACAAAAGCCCCAACTTGAATTTTATTGTTGTTTGCACGTAACAGAGACCAAAATGCCCTTTGCTCCACATCGTAGAGTCTGTTTAAGGTATCAAAGTGTTCGCTTTCAAACTCATTTGAGGCCTCCCATTGCACTTGTGAATGTATCTTTGTTTGGAATTGCAAAATGAGAAACTTTTCATTTCTTCTTGGTCGACCAGCAGCAATTTATTCCCTCCTTGCTTACATCATAGAAAAAGCAAATAGTAGATCGAAACTTACGGACAGCCGACATACATGTCTAGCTGATAGAGGCCACAATGAAGACGGGTTTTTGGGTAAATTTCCTCCAGAGATCTCGCTTTACATATGACCGACTTCTGACTATCTTGATGCACATACCAATATCTACGAGCTTTATGACATGAAATTGATTATGTCATCTCAACATTAATTGTTCACCACACATAACTGAAGATGCAAAGTCCTACAAAGTAACATGCACAATACCATTTTTGGTAAGTTTTATACTGTTCCATGAAATAACCAACAAAATGTTAACATTAATCACTATCAAAACCTTAGGTTGTACTTAAGTAGATAATCCGAGATCAGCATGTTGAAAATTATGAATTCATTCTAAGTGTATTATTTTTAATTCAGGGGTGTATTATATATGTTAACAATGTTAGTAGTTTTGTTTTTAAAAAAATTAGTATTGCTAACAATAACTTTATGTGTAAACTATTTGAACAAAATTAAATGCAATTGTCTTAGTGATAAAAAGATCTAAAAGTTACTTCTATTTTCTGGTAAAACCTGATAAAGTAGATATTTTCATGACTAAAAGTGTGTGGGTGAGTGAGTTATTATTTATCGTCACATCGGCAATATTGCAGCCATATCGTGACGAGAACATAATTGAGTGAGTTAGTGAGTTATTATTTAACGTCACATCGGCAATATTGCAGCCATATCGTGACGAGAACATAATTGACATTGAAAGGGAATATTTATATGATAAAAGACATGTCGACGAAGGACAGTAAAACAACTAGAATATCACAATTAGAATTATAATACGCGTGGAAAGTTAAAACTAATAGCACTATTTGGACAATACAACATAAAAACAGGCTATAGATCGCCAACAACTGAAGGTAGATCATACTAGAAACCATGGGGATTTACATTACTTTTGCTACCTGAATGGACCCTGGTTGGATTTTCACCATCCCTTCAACTGCTGGCGATTGTAAGAAATG